TGAGAATTATCTAAATTAAAGAAACAAAAATAGTCATTTATGTAGATAAATCGATGTGTATTTTGGCAGTGTTTGACCGCCGGTATACCGCGGTACCTAAGAAAACCGTCGTTACACCGCGGTACTTAATAAAACCGCCGGTATACCGAGGTACTCAATAAAACCGTCGGTATACCGCCGGTGTACCGCCGGTTTCTTCAGGTACCGCGGTATACCGGCGGTAGTTCAAATAAATGTGCGACATGGGATATTACTGTAAAGTCAACTGGAATGAATTTGAAAGATATTCCCGTAATCTTTTCATCTCATTTTGATTCATGAGTGTCTTGAAGTATCTATGAGTTCAGCATAACTAATTAATACCATGAATAAGCCCAGGTGATTTGATCCAATGACGGCATCTATAGGATCCAATCGGATTCCGAGCAACGAATCCATTAACGGATCCAATGGGTGAGTTCCTATGAAAATCCGATCCCAGATTGAAAAATCTGACATCAGATCGTACAAGATCTTATAAGATCTTGTAGTCTGAACAAAATCTTGCAAGAATCTGACAAAAAATCGTAGTCTCTGCGATCTTACATCAGATTCGACTGCAAGGTCCTATAAAGATCTTGCAATTATTTTATTTTCACCACAAACTTATAGTGCTATTTTAGGGTCATATTAGTTTAAATAAAATACTGCGGTGATTAGTTCACGACGCAACAGAACCTTACAAGGATCTTTTAATACGACTTAGTGTAAGAAATCAGAGACCATGATTTTTCGTACGACTTTCGTCTGAGCGTATCCGATCAAATATGATCAGACGTACGGTTCTTGTAAGGTCTTATCACCTGATTATTGGCCCTGGGATGATATCCTACCAAACCGGGTCGAGCAATCAGATAGTAAGATCAGCTATGGATTCATGCATGACCATATCTGATCTGATGTAAGAATCATGTATGTTCATGTAGAATCGTACAAAAAATCATATAAAATAATCGTAGTCTCTGCGACCTGATATCAGTTCATATGGTACGACTCTTCTATGGTTATACAACATGATCCGATACGATGCTATATAATCATATAGTAATAATTCCCCTGATAAATCAGAAACATACATGCCTGGTAATCCTCACCCGCCTTCATCAATTAGATTTTAATCTAACCTTAAATAACTCTTCCAATCCAC